TTAAATTCTTCTGGTTTTCCTTTTCGTAATATAGTAAATCTTGAACAATTTGGAACTCACCTATCTTAAAACTGGGAGTTTTTAGTGATAGCTTTTGGTCTTTGTCCTTTGAATGGACCATAGTGGAGCCATGGAAGATTTCTCTTGCTTACTTGCCATGCTTGTTCAGCAGAATTGACATTTCCTATGATCTGGACACCATGTCTTTTTCTTAGGGTTGTTTAGAGTATCTGGTTACGTGAGGATATTGGTTTGTCGAGTATTGCTCCCATTGACTTCTTATTTTTGTATGTCTTGCAGGTTTGAGCAATGTTTCTTTGACAGGTTAGTGTCATGAGATCTTTGGCAGTTCTTTAGTTTTCTTTGATTATGGTATCATTTATTTTTTGATCCGATGGAAGATTTCATCAAGTCATCATTTTCTTCTTCTAGCTTTTATCATTTACCTTTCTTAACATTGAGATCATCAACACTTTGTATTCTACGTTTTCATGAACTTTATTATCATAGGAATATGTTTGGGTTCGTATTTCGACTTTGAGCTTGAGGGGTTTTTAACCATTCTAGGTTGGTGTTGTCAAATGCTCTCTCCCTCTAAGTTATGTCAGAGATTTTCCGTTGGACTCCATATTTACCTTAATGTAAATAGGCCTGCAGATGAAATATTAGTAAGGGCTTCTAATATGATTTGTGTTTTTTTATAAGGAAAAAAAAAACGAACCCGTATTTTCTCTTGAATAACCTGCTTATGTACTGATCGAACCCTTATATTTTCTTGAATAACCTGCTTTCTTCTGTTATGACTCTCAGAATGATACCTTGATTGGAAGCTATTACGTGACACATGAAAATATTAGCTTTGGCAACTTAACACCTGAGGTGATATAACCCTTGGATTTCCCTTGTATGACACCTGCCTTCGTCAAGGACATTGTTTTGGACTTTTGATGGATCCCCTGATTGCCACAACTACATTTAACATGAAAAAGGCAGTAGCTTGATACTCCCTTTGTCCAACAATAGTTGTCCACTATTGACTTGCCACACCTTAAAAAACAATAAATAATAGGGGTAATATTACTATATTATCATTTGAATTTATTAAATTTTATGCTTTGAGAAATGTGTAGATGATAAATAGTATTTAATAGCAAGTTTAAAATAGACACAAAAAGGTAAATTATTTCTTGGTTTTCCAAAAGGACAAGTATTGTTGGACAACTATTTTTAGTAGAGTGGACAACTATTGTTGGACAGAGGAGCATAGAAGCTACTTACAACAACTTAATGGATCCAAAAATTCGGACAAGTATTTCTACGAAATTCTATGAGCATTTCCACTGGTAGCCTGATAACAACTTCGAAGAATTTCTGGACATGCCTTCCTCGTCCCCCTCTCTATCTTTTATCAGTTTCTCTCCTCAATATGGATTCATTTTGGCTACTAAAACAACAATAGCATACTTTTTCTGCAGAAGATTACCAGCTCTTTTTTTTTGTCGAAGTGGAAGGATCGCAGCATAGTTGTGATTAATTTAGTTGTGAAAATTATCTGAGGAGACGTGTAACATGTATTATTATAAATCTGAGATTTTTTGGTTTGAAATCTGAAAATGGACGAAAAAGGAAGAGTTCTTATGAGTTTATCTGATGCATCTAATCTCTGTTGTGGTAGAGCATATTGTATGACTTCAGATGAGACCTTTTAGTACTTGGTAGGTTAGGAACTACTGTTAGTTTAAATAGGACATTTTGCAGAACTTTGTTGTTGTAAAAACATTTATTTAGTTGCATCCCATAAACGACCATCTCAAGTATGATGGTTGAGTTCGAGGATGGCATGATTTCTTTGATTCTGTAATGAGTTGAAACTGTGCAAATATTTGGATGATCTGCAAGACTGCAAATGCTTGACATCTTAATAAGCTGAATATGTTCAAAATATCGTATAGTTAATGTGAACCTCCTATATTTTAGTTTTGTTGCGTTGAAGTAGCCATTTACTCTTTCTTTTTATCATTAAAATCTATATTTTGTGACTTGACATCTAAAATCTTGGATTTGCCTTCTTATTCAATGTTTTGCAGATTGTGCTAAGCGTGATCCAGAAGTTGGTGAAGACACGGAAAAAAACTTTGCTGATTTGTTGTCTGAGGAACTTAAACTGCGAGAAGCTGAAGCCTCAGAAAATCAGCGGAAGGCTGACATGGCACTTCTTGAAGCAAAAAAGTTGACATCCCAATATATGAAAGAAGCAGACAAATGCAATTCTGGAATGGAGACATGTGAAGAGGCAAGGGAAAAAGCTGAGGTTCTTTTATTGGCACAAAAGAAAATGACTGCTACATGGGAGATGAGGGCGCGTCAAAAAGGATGGAAAGAAGGGGCAGCCAAGTCTCGAACTCAGTCTCAGGGGAATGTACAGACCATGTAACATGCGCATGGTCTCAAGTAGCTTGTCTCGACTTGATCTGATGCCAAGTTCCGGTGCAACAAAGTTGTCTATAATTGAGTCCCAGCTCAAAAATGTGTTAGCACATGAATGGATTCCATTTATTTTGAATCATATGCACGATTTTAGTTTAGAGTTCACTATAAGATATCCCTCTCTATATGCGTAGTCATCTGAAACAGATTGCCATTTGTTCCACTATAAGGCAAAGCCTTTCCATATATCCTGCTGAGTTGAAATTCCACTAGTAAAAGTTTGAGTGAATATTGCAATCAACTGCCTTACAAATTTTCATCTGGCTGAGTGGCATTTGTCAACATTTCTATATCTATATATGGGTGAAGAAGATTAACTGTGAAGTGTCACAACTTGTTCTATTTATTTGTCTTTTTGGCAGGTGATGCAATTTACAGGCTAGTTTATAACTTTTTATTCCCACTCTTGCTGATTTACCTGCTATGCCCAAGTAGACAAAGTTGAGATGACTTTAACCTTGTGTTCTTGACTTCTGGCCTAAACTCTGTGAAACTGATGGTGACAAAAGCATTATAAATGTAGATTGAAGTTGGTAAAGATTAGCACATCTGAGCTTGGAATTCAGTGTCTACAACCATGTGTTTTAATTTTTGATAGCTAGTACTTGTCAACTATTGACTTGACACATTGTTTAAGAAACAATAAATAATGAGTAATTTCATATTAAGGTTAAAATAAATACAAAAGGTAAATTATCTCTTGATTTTTTAAATTGAATAAATATTGTTGGACAACTATTTTTAGTACAGTGAACAACTATTGTTGGAAGAAGGGAGTGTTTACGATATTCCTGAATCAGAAACAAAGGAATATAAAGGCTGAGTTCTGGATCCACCAACATTGCCTGCTAACTTGCTAAGCTATACTACCTTGAAAGACCAAGGTAACCTTAGGCAAAAGCCCACAATTCTTTGTCCTCGAACTAAGGTTTGGTATTTGATCCATTGTTAGCTCAGGAGTGATGACATCACGGGTCACGGATGTGTATTGAAGAACTTATTTTTCTTTGATAATCGAGAAATTTAAATGTCAACTATGGGTAATGGTTAATGTATATGCTCCTTCTAATTGTTCTACTTAAATATCATAATTTTATCCGTTTATCCATTGCACAATTTTACTTCTGACATGAGTATAACTCTCATATCATACTTGACATGCTTATTAATAAGCCAAAGTCATGGGGCATGTATTTTGATGTATAATTAGGATAAGATGGTAACTAGAGTTGACACAAATTTAAACACCTTAATTAATTCATATACATATTGAGGATTTACACAACTTGAAAGTTGTGTTATTAAACACTTTTTTGATTATCACTTAAAATTATAAGGTTTATATTACACAGGACAGAAGACATGTGACATTTGAGTGCAAAATAATAATTCAAAAATAAATTATATAAGAAACAAAAGAAATAATCTTACTTGTTTCAACGTTTTACCTAATGTCATATGAGTCAAACTCAACCTCATTACCCTTTACCAATAATCACTTTTATCTCTCTAACCTCGACTTGGACTTTGGATGCATCTGTCTCCACTAATAACTCCCGAAACATTTGCAAATATAGACATACGATTAATGACAATGAAAACTAGCTATGCATATGATTACACCAAGAGAGAAAAGTTTTTCAATTTTTGCAAACACTAAAAGATTATTTATTCTTTCTTGTATCTTTTTGGTTGAAAATTAGTTTTGCAAAAATAAATAATTAAATTTAGGGAAAATTGTATATAATAGCAAACTACCTAAATTAAATGGAATAGCTAGGGTTTGATTTAATTGTGCTCCATAGCAAACATTAGCTAAAATTTGCCAGTTTCTCTCTCCCAAAAATCTCGCTCGCCACTCTCTATTCTCGCTCGCCTCGCTCGCTTTATACACAGAAGTGTATAATTCTGTTTCTGTTTTGTAGAAAGCGAGAGAAAATTGTATATACACATACAAAAATGTATATCTTCGTGTTATACACTTAATTATACAATTTACAAACATTTTACTTCAAATATTGCAGAGAAAAAGGCCAACAAATTATACAATTGCGAATTATACAATTGTAGTGAAATACAATTTTCTCTAGCTTTATACAACAGAAGTGTATATATTGTGTTTCTGTTTTTGTATAAAACGAGAAAAACATATATCTTCTTACTATACACTTAAAATTATGCAATATACATACATTTTAATTCGATTCAACTGTATGCAAAACAAATTATACAATTGCAGCGAAATAGGCCAACGAATTATACAATTTAGGCCAGCGAATTATACAATAGTATATATATAGCAAACTATACAGTTTTATGTTTGCTATGGAGCGCAATTATGTAAAGTTTGCTATAACATACAAATATGAATTTGCCCTTAAATTTATCATAGGAAACAGTAAAATGTGGGCCCATTTATAACAAGTAGACTCGAAGGCCCAATATCCTTGTAGGTCACAGAAAGCCCAAATCCAACCTAGCCGTGTAACGGTGAATGGCGGTCGAATTCGGACCCAAATTCCGATTGGCCTGCTAAGATGAATTGAAATTGGAATGTCGATTTCTTCGGCCATTACCATTGAATGACCACCACTCTTCCTCGCCTACGAACTTCCTCATCCCCATTCTCCTCCTCCTTCCGATCTCTTTCTCCGGCCAAATTCATCTCCGTACGTTCACCTCTCTTTCTCTCTCTCTCTCTCTCTCTCCTGCTCTATATCTTTCCAATTTCATCTATCTGAAACAAAAACCCTAATCCCCCCCTTTTTTTTTCATGTAATAATTAAAATGTGAAATTGTTCTAATGATTTATCTCTTATCTCTCCACTTCTTAATGAAAGCTTAAGTTCCGATTTGTTAATTCTTATAACTATTTTTATATGCTTACTAGTTAATTTGTACATTTTTGGTTTTTTTTTAAACCATCTTAAACCACTTCCTTAAAGCTCCGATGGTCGACTAATTTGTCTTTTCTAATGCTAATCAGTTTTTATTACATTTTATCTGAAAATTTGATTTTTTTTAAATCTTTAATGTGCATGTATATTTCAAGCTCACAGTTACCAGGAGCCTACTGTTTAATTTGCTTCTAGATTTGGGGTTATAGTATGTGTTGGAATAGAAAGGAGAAATTTCCATATGAAGAAATTTTATTTAGCTTGCTCTGCGGATTTTATGTTTCATACTGCATACAAAATGAATGGAGAGGGGAACGGATCCTGTCTTATTTTTGTGTTTGTGTGATGGGGAGAGAGATGCCCTTTAAAGAAGCATTGAGTCCTTGAGGATAAGTGCCAAGTTAATGAGAAATAAACTTACTTTTTGGAAAGAGAAAACATAGATGAAGTAAATTTAAAAAGAAACTTGAACTGCATTTTAAAAAATGCTGGAATTGTGTTTGGCTTGATAGGTTATAATACCTATACTTAAAGTACAACTGGACTAGTTGTTAAGAGGAAGAAACTAGATTTATGTTTTCTTGCCATATGTTGGGGTTATAGATTCGTTTCTCCCTTGTGGCTTTCTGTTACAGCCTTGTTGCAGTGATATACTTCAATTTTTTGTTCTCTAGGTGTCCTTTGCTTTTTCCTTTTTATTGTATTTTAACTGCCCTATAATTATGAAAAAATGTTTACAGATAAAGGAGAACATTATATGACAGTATAGCATAGAGAAAGATCATGGCTGTAGAGGCTTTTGCCAAAACAAATTTGATGGAAGATATGGATGATGACGATGACATGCCTTTAGTTTTCAAACGAAGTAGTACCACATCAAAGCAAAATCAGTCCAATTCATCATCTCAGAAGCAGGATGGAAGATCGGGGCGGCAAGTTCCTGATATACGTTCACCTAATGGCCAGAGCTCTAGTACTCATAAAGTTAAGACAGTCACCTCTTCTAAGGCATCTCCAGCAGTTTCACCTTTAACTAGTCCAAAAGCGTCGCCTCTGTCAAGCAGGACATCTCCTGCACCAAACTCAAGGCCGTCATCTTCTGCAGGTAATCAGGCAAAAAATGTTAATCAACAATCCAATGTTACTCCTAAGGAGTCGAAACAAGCTGTTGAACCAAAATCTGAACCTAATGATGAAGCTGAGGATTCTGATGATGATAAACTATTGAGTTCTAGGGTCCCTTCTGGGTTATCTAAGAGCACTTCTGTTCATGCCAAGAAAGTGCTTTGTACTTCAACATCAGTTCAGAAGTCTAGACCTCCCAAAAAAGAGGATTCAGATGATGAAACTCCCTTAGCATCAAGGTTTCCAATGAAATCCAATGCAGGGGCTTCCACTAGCAAGTTTTCTAGTTCTGAAGAAGTTAAGCCTAAGATTCGTCAGAATGGTTTGCCATCTGCGACAGTTTTAAGTAAGAGACCCCCTGGTGAGGTCAAGTCTGCTGCTCAGGCTTCAGTTAAAAAGCCTAGACTTTCTGATGCGTCCACACCTGTTTCTAGTAAGCAACCGCCTTTCAAAACTGAAAAGAAGACAGAGGACGATGACGACGATGTTCCTATATCTCAGAGGATAAAAAAGGCAGTAGATTCAGCTTCAGCTTCAGCTAGTAAAGTGTCATATGTGAAGAAAGCAACTAAAGTTGTTTCGTCATCGATGAAGAAAACAAAGAAGAAGTTGAAAAAACCCAAGTACTCTAAGTCGTCAAAACTGCAGCCAAGCTCTGGTGATGGGCAAAAATGGACTACACTGGAACACAATGGTGTGATTTTTCCACCTCCATACAAACCTCATGGGGTTAAGATGCTCTACAAGGGAAAGCCCGTGGATCTTACTCCAGAGCAGGAAGAGGTCTCAATCTGTCTCTGATTGTATGTGTCTCATTCATGTCTTTGTGATTTTATTCTTAGTACAGCAATTTCTCTGCAGGTCGCAACAATGTATGCCGTGATGTTAGACACTGAATACATGACTAAAGAGCAGTTCAAAGAGAATTTCATGAATGACTGGAGAAAAATACTTGGAAAAAACCATGTCATTCAAAAGTTAGAAGAGTGTGATTTTACCCCAATATATGAGTGGCATCAGAGTGAGAAGGAGAAGAAGAAGCAAATGAGTTCAGAAGTAAGTGAATTAATAAATATTTAAGTTACAAAATATGGTAATTTGTAGTTATCTTGTCACTTAAACCGTGGTTAATTTCATTTTGCTTATACTTTTCCATCTTCTAATCACTTGTTAGCTTTCTTTAGGAGTTGCCGAACTGTTAACTCTAAAAAAATTTCTGATCTTTCACTTGTGACGAAGTTCTGAATTTGTTTGGCAGTTGTATGATCTCACTTGGTAGAGCCAATATATCCCAGTCACCTTTGGACTAAAAAACATCTCTGCTTACTGTGTAGAAATTCATTGATTTCCTGTGTGGGGGATATGTTACTTGCTAATCTTATGGTAGTTAGTTGTTTGGCAGGTGATCTTTTGTGTAGTCATTTGATGCATACATTTGTCTGACCAGCATGAAACTGGCATTTCTGTCAACCTTATAAAATAGATTTAGCTACATTTTCTTAATTGAGAAGATTTGCAGAGACTACTTCATAGGATATTATCTAAGACATCCTTACAATGCAAGAGATTCAGCCACAGTATTGTTTTATATACAACCTCTACCTCTTAGTATATGTTGCTTCGACTCGCCAATAGTGTTGCTGCACTAGTGTCCCACCCTTCAAATATGTACTGCTTTTGAAAGATCCGACATGTACATGTAAACATTTTTGAAGAGTCCGAGTGACATAGCTCTTCAGTGATGTTAATGCTGGATAATCATAGAACTTCATTTTTCATAGCAAGTGGATTTAACCATTACGTTTAGTAGAAGTCTAGTTAGCAATTTTATGAGGGAACAAGTTCCCTTCATTTTGATGGTGGAAGTGTTTTTAGCTCACTTAAAAAGGACTCATTTGGGAAATGATTTGTCCTAATTTTTTTTGTTTTCTCTGGCTGCTTGTCCCTTTCTCCTTTTGTTTTTAATTCTTTTTTCTTCATGGATGGATCGGGGGGGGGGGCACTTTCCAGAATATTGGTTTTGTTTTCCACTGTTGCCGTCAATTAGTTGAAGCTTGGATTGAATTTGGTTGATGAATATATCTGTGTATGATGATAGCAACCACTTTCAGCTTGACAACATTCTTAAACAAACTTGCATGTAGAGTTTCAAAAAAAATATGTCTTCCACTATCGCAAACTGATCACTTATAAGATGTTCGGCATTTTGTCAAATTGGCTGTTATTTTACCTAGTCTCTGACATTTTTGATTCTCAGTCTGATCAAGATGGGACCTATGTTTGTGGTTTAATCTAATAGCACAGTACATAAAGCTCGTAGATGCTTCAAGGTTTTCATCTAAAACATTGCTTACCTATTTTGCAGGAGAAGAAGGCATTGAGAGAAGAGAAACTTAAGCAAGAAGAGAAATACATGTGGGCTATTGTGGATGGTGTTAAAGAGAAGGTTTGGTTCTGTTTAGCTTTAGCTTTTAGCTTTCATACATGGTACTTTAAGAGAAATTATGTTGTGCTATCTTCTAAATTTATCCCAATGGGATTATAAGATGGTCTTACATCTTTTTTCTCTTAAAAAAGGTCTTATGTCTTCTTTTCTAGGGGATGTTTCTTCTGTCTTTTTCAACATCATCTGCTGTTATTGTGGTAATTTCATCTTATTCACAATGCATTTATCCAGCTAGCACAATTTTTTGGTTGGAGTTGTCCAAAATTCTTTTGTGTTTCATTTTTCTAATCTGGTGCTATTCTTGTAATGATTTCCTCTTGACTGATCTTAAACAACATTGGGGAGCTTTATTTCCTTTATGGCTGTGAATAGTTTTTAGAGAACATATTCTCTTCATCTTTGGAATTTACTTTCCTCTGATTAAAGATTCTTTTTCTTATTGGGAGTAATTAAGTTCTTTTTAAAATTGCATTTAAATGGTGTTAAAAGGTTTTCAAAGTAGATTTTTATGAATACCTAAATGTATTTCCCTGTTATATTTCCCTTCCACGAACATTCCATTTTCAGTTTCTGTAATTCTGTTGAGATTTTTGATAGGGCCTGATGTGTTTTTTGCATCTTAATAGTGATTGTTCGAATTGAACCGTACTTCCTGCTCTTATTTGATGGTTGGTTTTCATGGGATGACTATTCTAGGCAGAATTCATCAGCTGTAAAGAGAAAAAAATTGTCTTCCCATTGTCATGTATTGCTGAAGTACATGGACTTGATTTAAGAAAGAAAATAGAAGTGGAAACATTATCAAAAAGATAAGTGGAAAGACGAGCAAAAAGAGTTAGAATGTTCATTCCTGAGTAAGAACAAGGAATGAGGTTCATTAACTTGGATGAAAGGGCTTTCCCTAGAATGAAATGCCCTCTTTTTTACAACTCCAAATTGAAGAATGGACGTAACCGAATGATGGTTTGTTGAATCTTACGTTAGAAATATCTCTTCTTTTATATGTATGTGTGGGGGAAGAGAGGATAGTCTTGTTTTTGGAACAGAAGGCTTCTAGCTCTGGTCTGATGGAGCAAGTTTTGTTTGTTATTGTTAGTGATTTGTGTACTTCTGAGCTCTTGGGGAGTTGGATCGAATTTGCAGCCGTGTTGATAGGTGACGATCTCGAAAATAAATTGATATAATGAAGATGTTGTAATCCATTGTTACATATTGTTTTCACATGTGTTTGCTGATTGCTTCATAGTCCTTTTCTGGATGTTTCTTTGTTTTCATTATTTAGCTGTTTCTTGTGCCATCAGTACATCCTCTTTTTGGTATTTTTTTGTTTCTTAGCCATATGATATTGAGCCCCCTAGCTTTATCTTAACTCTCAAACTTGAGCTTCCCCTTCCTTTTGGTGATGTGCCAACATGGTGTTCTTTATCGTGTTTAACCTACCTATGTATCCACCCCTAAAATCAGAAAGGCCCATAGTATTCGGAGCATGGAAAACTTATAAACCAACTGCGAAATGGTCTGACCATTTCGTTATGTGCAGGTTGGGAACTTTCGGGTTGAACCACCTGGATTGTTCCGAGGCCGTGGGGAACATCCAAAGGTATGTTGGCCTTCTATTTATTGGGTTAAACTGCCAAGAACATTCTACTATGTGCAGAATGGTGTATTATTTATGTTTAGGTACTTCCATGTTTCGCTGTGGTATTGATGGATGTTGCTTTGAATGGTATAGATGGGAAAGCTAAAGAGACGGATCCGGCCAAATGATATCACAATAAATATTGGAAAGGGTGTTCCAGTACCGGAGTGCCCCATCCCTGGCCAAAGGTTCTCTTCATTTTCTCTGTTATCCTTTTGAAAGAATTGTCTATCCTTTGGAGGGTGGTAAAGGAAGTAAGAAATATACTTTTTGCACCATATACAAGGTAAAAAGCTAGAGTTTCACCTTCATTTATTTTCCTTCCCCTTGTTGGCTTGGCAGGTGGAAGGAAGTAAGGCATGACAACACAGTAACATGGTTAGCTTTCTGGAACGACCCTATTAATCCAAGAGAATTCAAATACGTTTTCCTAGCAGCCAGTAGTTCCTTGAAAGGGCAAAGTGATAAGGAGAAGTATGAGAAAGCTAGGCGTTTGAAGGTACAATGAAGCAATTGGCAAGTTGATTTTTTTTTTTGACTGGTTGCACATGATGATTGGTGGCTATAAACTGTCTCTCGGTTGCAGGATTACATAGAAGGCATTAGATCTGCATATACAAAAGATTTTGCAAGTAAAGATCCTGTGAAGCGTCAGATTGCAGTTGCAACTTATCTTATCGATAAATTAGCTCTGAGGGCAGGGAATGAGAAGGTATCAGGAACACTAGTTTATTTTTATTTTTCCTGGATACTTAACTAGGGGCAGCGTAGATCTCAAAAGAGTCTGAAAATTCCAAAACTGGTTGTCAATGCTGGTTTAGTATCTCTTTCAAAAATATTTTTATTAGCATAGAAGCAGGAAGTTATGGCAATATATGTTGCTCCTCGCTTTCCAATTCATAAGTTTACCAAGAGGTATAAAACCATAAAGCAAAAAATAATTTAAGCAGAGATCAATTTATCCAAAAAAACTGAAGGTGAGAGATCAGTTTTCCAGTTTTTTATATTTTTTTTGTATGAAGAACCCATGCTTTTGCCTGCAGAGGCATGGGACAATGCAAAGGTTGCGCAAGTGTTCTTAGTTATATCAATGTGATGCAGGATGATGACGAAGCTGATACAGTTGGTTGCTGTACTTTGAAAGTAGAGAATGTAGAGCCAGTACCTCCAAATATTTTGAAGGTATTGTGGTTTTAAAAGCTAAATTGGAAGAGCTCTCGGAAATTTACTCCTCTACAGGTTCTTAGTTTTGTGCTATTAATTGCAATGCATATAATTGACTTTGCTTTCTTCAGTTCGATTTTCTTGGTAAAGATTCTATCAGGTACCAAAATGAGGTGGCTGTGTATGAGCCTGTTTTTAAAGCTATTCAACAGTTCCGAAGTGGTTAGTAAATGCTGCTTTTGTGCTAGAATATGTGCTTTTTTTAAAAAAAAATCCGTTCTTGAAATACATGGATACACTTGATTTCAGGAAAAAAGGGCAGTGACGATCTTTTTGACAAGCTTGATACGAGTAAGCTTAATGCCCATCTAAAGGAACTCATGCCAGGGCTCACAGCAAAAGTATTTCGTACATATAATGCATCTTTTACATTGGAGCAGCAAGTAAGTTGCTTTCAGAGACTAGACGTTTTTTTTGACTACTGTGTTACCCGTGACTAAGCTGCTTGTCAACCGGAGCTAGTTAGGGTTGTGAAGATTCATTATAAGTTGACGAGTTTTTCATTGGCCATCAACTTACTACAACCTTCCCACACATTGGGTATGGGTCCAGCAATCTGAGGCAGAGTTACCCCTCATCTCCTAAAAGGAGTGAAGGTTGCAGTTCTATATTGGAACTGCCTGTCAGGTTTTTGAATATTATATTACCTTTTACTGATCAAAAAAAGGGGGAAGGCTGCTTCTTTTTCATCTTGGTCAAGTTGCACATATGTTGTAAGAAGTTTGGTCTGAGTTTAATAACTAAGAGAAGGGATCTGCTTATCTATTTGTGTTTTTCTTATATGAGTTTGATTGGTTTGGATTAAAGTAGGATAATGCACTAAAGTTGTTTTTGCTTTGTTTAGAGTTAACAACCTGCTTGGTTTTCTTAGAAAGCTTGATGAGCTATACTATGTGATACTCTTTCTCTGGCTTCTTTTAGATATTTCGTCTCATTTGCCAGGGGAATGGATGATATGAAATTGTTACTTAAAGAATTAAACAGGATGGTTAAAATAGGGAAGTGTTTTCGGAGTGTCTCTTCTATAGAACTATTGTTAGATGGACAATGTTATGTGAGAGTGAATATTGGAATTGTCTCTTAGGTCAACCTATCTGCAACACAAGTAGCCGATATTAACTGGATGTATGGTCACGCTAGATTAGAGAGAATTAATAATGATCACTTTTGAAGAAAGATGCAAGTAGCACAGATAAATGATGAAATAAGAGGGTTCTTGAGATGCTTTTGTCATGTCTCAACCTCTAGATGTAGCTGCTTATAGGTGTGAAATAGTGGGGATAGAAGGTGTTATAAAAGACTAGGTGGTCTAAAATTAAATTGAAAGAAGTCCTGAATAACCTACAATGATTCGTGTAGACTTAGTAAATAATAGGACATAATGGAAAGGAAAAGAAAAAACCCATACAGATGACACCACTTAGTTGGTTGCTAAGTTTGTCTTGTTGGTACATTCTTAAGGTCTGAGATGTTTGCTAGGAGTCTTTTAGTCTTGTTAAAACTGTATATGCCAGTAAAGAGTCTTTTATAAAATTTATATGCCAGTAGAAAATGGAAGAATTTCTTTTATAATTTTTTTTTATAGAATTTCTAGTGCTAGAGAACCTACATTGTTGAATATTGGATTGAAGCTGATTGCTTTGTGGAGACATGAATAGTGAGGATTCACATAGCCCAGCCTAATTAGCTTGGGATTTAGGTGGTGTTGTTTTGATGTGGCTGCTTTTGAATTGTGTTAGTTAAGTGTAGCAGAAATGGATGTTAAATGTTTGATTTATAGAAGTTGGAAACGATCACATTCAACAATCAGTATAAATAGTATATATATAGGATAAAAGTTGTCGTTATGGCAATTCCACCAGTAACAAAATTTTGTGCATTGGTCTGGAGATCCATTATGCCTTCCACATTACTAATGCACAACCTTTTTTTTTCCTGTGGTGATTTACATTGCTACTGATGGCAGTTGACTAAGCTCACACAAGGGGGGGAGCTTGCTGATAAAATTGCGGTATATAATGTGGCAAATAAAGAGGTAAGACTTCCATGAAAAATTGTACTAATGATTATTGAAACACTGTTTAGAATTTCCCTTCACTATGTATATATTTCTTGTTGCAGGTTGCAATAATTTGTAATCACCAGCGTACTGTCTCGAAGTCCCATAGCGTGCAAATTTCAAGGTTGAATAACAAGATAGATGAGTTAAAGGTGATTACTTTTTGTTATCAGTGTTCATTCTCTGTAGTTCCATTTCTGTCTGATAAGTTTCTATAATGTGAGTGGCTAGTTTTTATTTGTCATCAAAATAGAAGAGGATTGCTTATTGATGATATTTTACATAAAGTTGACGTGTATTCAAAATACTTGCATTTCCTTAGGTTGTGATTGTGTTTTTATTAGGCTATTTTGGAAGAATTCAAAGTAGATTTGGCTCGGGCCAAAAAAGGGAAGCCTCCGGTGAAAGGCGCCGATGGCAAGGCGAAGAGGAACTTGACCCCTCAAGCGTACAATTGCTGTCCTTGACTCGAGCCTTTCTTCCATTCTTTGTTTTAGTTGCTGACATATAAGTGTAATTGTTTGCAGATTACAGATAAAAATAGACCAAACTAATGTGAAGATTGATAACATAGAGAGGCAAATAGATACTAAAGAAGAGTTGAAAACTGTGGCTTTGGGCACATCAAAAATCAACTATTTGGATCCTAGGATTACTGTGGCATGGTGTAAGCGCCATGAGGTTCCCATTGAAAAGGTATATGCCTCGTTTACAATGTCTTATGGCTAAGTGTACTTCCATGAATTTCATCTCCTCTTATTTCTAATTGACCTCATGCATTGTGGTTACGTTTTGATCCTTCTTTATCCCTTGCAGATGTTCAACAAGTCTCTTCTAGCAAAGTTTGCCTGGGCGATGGATGTTGAACCTTCCTTCACATTCTAAATTTTTGGTGGTTGTTATAGTGTAGGACATCTCTTCAAAGTCAAGTCTCCCTCCTAATACCCAATTGTTCACATTTCCCCCTTCCTCCCTCCTGGAAAGAGAATAGGAAAAAAGTTCTATTATTTTTGCACTTAAAAAAGAAGAAAAAAAAAGAGATCTTTGATCGTTGTCTGACAATATTTAAACTTGTTTACCCTGACAAATTCCTGTTGTAATTTGAGCTTCTGAATTTATGGGGTAAGTTTTCCTTAATCGCCTCTCTTTCAAATTTAATTTCCGTTTGTGAATACTCTTAGATGTTCTAACTTGTTTAAAAATGATCAAGTGCCATGTTCTTCAGGAAGGAATTTCAAGTTTTCTGGGTAATGTGTAAGCTAGCATCAACGATAATTTATGATAATTTTTTTTTTTGGCACCAAGTGTACGAGCTGAAGGGTATTGCCATTCATATTTTGCTGAAATTGTGCAATCCCACGGATTCTTCACTTGAGTAATTGTAGTTGGGTTGATTCTTGGAGATTTCGAATTTGGATCTTAAGAGTTATAACAGTTTCCTTTTATCTGCAAATGTTTGCTCCTATGGATTAATTTTTGCTATCAAGTTAGGTATAAAGTAAAGCAGGGTGATAGTAGGCAGTACAAAGGAGGAGTTGGGGATATTGCCATTCATATTTTGAGTATCAAGAATTGGCAATAAACTCACATGTATATAGGAGCACAATGTCAATAGTAAGAAAAAACTTAGAAATTGAAGCAAAAGAAGAAAACGTTATTGCTATACAACTACGTTTTCTTGATTTTATAGAGAAAATGGTCAAAACGGTGCCTAGCTTTGGTTCCTTTTGGTGCTTAATGCGAAGGCTTAACGATCCTTAACGTATTTGAACAAGTGATTAAGACTTCTATTTCCCTGAAAAGTAGATTGATATAGATCAAATTTTGATTTAATATTTTCAATACAAAAATCACTTTATAATTTCCAAAGTAACTTGAAAAAGTCGTGGACAAACTTTTCTTGTTTGAAATTGTTTTACGTAGTTTGATCTTTGATCATAATTTTTTTTTTATTTGAAAAGTAATTATCTCATGCTCTATTTATTTGACCGTAAAAGGATTGGGTGTTAGTTATTGGGTTTAAGACCATACTGATCACAACTTAAAATATATTAATACTTGTTTATTTTTATTCGTAATGTTGCGTTTTTCGATTAAAAAAAATTGATTAAGAAGGTTAAATTTAGAATACATCAATTCAATATTTTAAATAAAATATTTTAGATATTCAAAAACAGTATTATTAATTGTAAATTTTTGCATATTAACATGATGAAAAAATTCATCGTAAATGTTAGTTAAATTTTTGTAATTTAATTCTAAAAAAAAATTATGACAATTAAAAGTGAACAAAAATAATAAAAAGTAAGAACAAGAACTAAATAAAATCAAAACTTTTACATGAATAAGGACCATTTTATATCCCGAACTACAATGACTGGATTACCCCTTTGAAAACTGAAAATTTCAGAATACTACCCTCAATGATTTGATCACATATTGATCCACCTCAATCCAACTTCCGATCCAGCTTCTCTCTCTGTTTCTCTCCATAACTGTACGTCTTCGTCTCTGTATATCTCCATTAGTTTTTGCAGTATACATCTAGTTCATATTATGTGCTTTCGTTCAATTTGATTCTTCCATTTTAAAGTCGAACATTTTTTTGTAATGCAGAGAATAAGAGGCATCTGAGAGATTGTTGGTTAGATCCATACCACAATGGGATTCCTGGTGACAACTCTAATTTTTGTTGCAATTGGTGTTATTGCATCTCTCTGCGCCAGAATCTGCTGCAATAGAGGGCCTTCTACTAATCTGTATGTTATTTTTTTGTTTCATATGGTCTAGATTTCTTTAGTATGACGATACTTACTTTTTTTCATGGATTAATTTACTTGGAACTACTCATAACAGACTTTTATATTTTGTTTCCCAAGTTTAGTTTTCTATGTGCATCTGTAATGTATCAGCTAATGCTGTTTGGTACTTTGGTTATTTCCATCTAGAACTGCTAACTCAAAGGTGAATTCTAAGTCTAGATTAATGATTTATTAATTGTATCTGGCAAAAAATAATTGGGATAGTAAAGTAGTTTTTCCTTCTTCATCAATGGCTTGAGATATTTGAGACTGAATCCTTTGTTAATAATGCTGTGGAAGTATTTAAACTTTTTCTCCCCCTTAATGTTGTTGGTTGTGTTTTATAATGCAGGTTACACCTAACATTGATTATCACGGCGACAGTGTGCTGTTGGATGATGTAAGTGTTATATATGGTTGAAATTTCTGTTATACTTGCGAGACAAGATTAGGAGTAGATTAAAGTATTGCACCATGAAATTCTTATACTTGAATATGTTTGGATGCCTTTAAGTAGAGTATGTAATTTCATATTTTGTCCTTTTGAAGTTTTGGTGGATAAGATAGACTCTTAGTTCGAGGCAACATGGGCAGAAAGAAAAGATTTGTCTGAACCACTGATCGGTCACTAATGCTAAAAGCTTTCCAAATCTAGCAATCAATTAAGCATGTCAAAGAAAATTTGTTTCTAACATTTGTTACCTTTGTCAAAAAAAAAAATTGTTTCTAACACAATGGAATATGTCTTATCCAATGGATCATAATATGAAGCATGGTTAACTGATTCTTTTCTAGAAGAATGAAGTTATCACTTTAGTCTTAGCTTTGGCTGAAGATGCACCTGAGTCTCTCATAATAGCAAGGCAATATTGTCAAAGGTGCACTTAAGGCATGGTGATTTCTACAGTTAGGCTTAATAAAAACTATTACTTTGGATTGCTTAGGTAGCGTTTTAAGGAAGATATAGGATGTTAGGAAATGCGGCTCAGAAAAAGTTAATCAACCAGCAGTTTGTAAAAAAATTAGGTGAATTTGGGTGGCTCTTGGCTCTACCTTGAAGAGGACAACACTTAAAAGATAAATATAATAGAAAAATGACGTCTTAATTGATAAAACAAAACATTGCAGATGAACACAAATATTATTAAGAAATACTGTTTTCTTAACTTAATAACTTTGATATTACCAATACTGTTTAAAATGAAGTTATTAATAAGGGATAAGAAATTAGAATTTTGTTTAAGAAATACTACAACAACAATAACAACTACAACTATACCTCAATCCCAAGCAAGTTGGGGTTGACTATATGAATCCTCATTGTCCATGTCGATCCATTGAAACTTATCTCAGTCCAGAAAAGTACATCTTTGCTTCTGCATTTAATTGACTTTGAACTCAATTATTGGTTGCGACTTAATATATTATGTCATAACAAAATTTTCAATTATCTATTTAAAAAATTGTTGTTTCATTATCATGGTTATTGTTTCTAGCTTTATATTTTTTTATTCATAATGATTTATGTGCATTTCTACACTAAAGCACATTTTTTTTTTAATTTTTTCATAGAAGCTCCAGCAGACCTGTAACATTTAGCAGTTAAAACTTAGTTAGTGTAACCTAAACATCAGCTTGTGTGAGAAAAAGCAAATGATATATACGAAGCGAACAATGTTCAACTTGAGCTAAGGCTCAGTTGGAAGAAAATAAATAGATATCTTGATTCCTTTTTCTTGATAAAGAAGAGGCCATGTTAAAATTGAGATTGAGATAGAGAATGCAATATTTCGAGAAGATTTAGGGGTGTTGTAACTTTTTTTTTTGTTATAATAAGGGAAATACGCAGCCGTTACCCTTTGGGTGCGCACAAAGTAAAGCCCTTTACCCTGCTCTTATGCAATAGTTCACAAACCACACAGGGAGGTAACCCGCATTAGGCAAGCCCGGTGCGAAGAGCTCGACCCAAAAGGCTAACCCCTTGCTTTCGCTGGCAAGGGATTACGAACTTGAGACCTCCAACATGGAAGTCCCAAGCCCAAACCAATGCTGCGGAAAGGTTGAAAATATAGAAGACTCGAGAATTGACATAATTTTTTCATGTGTTTATTTACTTGTAAAATAATACTATGTGAAGCAGCGGAAAGGGAGCAATAAAACCTTACTCATGTTAGAAAATGATTCTCCTAGCAATAGTTTATGGAGAGTAGAGTCAGTAAACTAGGCGAGCTCATCTGCCTGTTACCTATTTGGCCACAAGGTTCTGAAGTGCAAGCATGCACCAAATTGAATTAACAATTTTATGAAATTACTCATTCAACTTCTATCACATGAAATACTCCACAAGTTTTCTGGTAGACTCATAAAGAAAAATATTGAAAGTTTACATTCAAATAGGAAAAGCTGGATCAGGTTTAACTGTAAACATAAAAAATCCTTCTGCCCTAGCCTATTTGACGAAATATGACTTTAATGGACAAATTTCTGATATGATCAGGATGCTTTAATAAATTTGTGAATTACTACCTCAGATGGGATATTTAACTTCTCTCTAAATACTCGAGGTTCAATTTCAAAGTTAGTCTTATCTTTAACTTACTGATAATTTTTACATAACCATATTGCAAAGAGAGTGACGTAGGTTTGATTTGCAGTTTTGTTCCAAAAAAGGAAAAGAAAGAAGTTTGATTAGCAGCTGTCCCAAGGGGATGGTTGAATGGTAGAGGTCAAGTGTTCAATGTCAGTTGGAACACTCCCTTGAGTCTATCTAGTTAGCCATGGTGACATGTTTACCCAACAATGTTCTTGTAGGTTGTAACAGGTTGCAAAAGTGAATTAGTCAAGTAGTCAAGGCTGGTGCAAATTGGAAACTTGAAAAACTGAAATTAACTTTTTTTAGTTTTCATGTGACCTAAAACCTGTAAAACACAATTTGAAGGTCAAACTCTCTTCCTTGATAGTTGTCTCAGGAAGGAAGAATGAAATGCAAATAATGTGATCCAAAAATATGGTTTTGACTTTTGTCTCACTTTCCCCACCTTTGCTTTTAAGTTGTTCAATATCTTTTAGGTTCGACTCTTCTGAATAACTTGAATCCAACTGTCTTCTTGCTTCGCTTCTATTATTTTTCTAATTGCTTCATCGAATCTAAGTTTGCGGCAGCAATCCTTTTGCAAAAGCACAGCTTCATCTTGTGAATCTTGCCAAAGGAATCTGAAGAATACCACTGTTGGCAAATATTAACACCTTCACTCTGATTGATTCACTTGTATTGGGAATTAAACACTGTCCACCTATCAATATGTTTTGTTAATATTTCCAAAGGAAACCCTCTCGAGTGGTTTTGTAATCGTCTAATTAGGGGCTTTCTATGTTAGCAGCCAGGCATATACTATGATAGTTTTCATTAATCCTGAAGACAGATTAGGAGTCATCATTCTTAAGGAGGCCACACTTTTTGTGTCATTTTACGTAGTCATTGATGGATCATGAAATGCTTTTTGTTGCTCTCCTAGTGAGTTGTATCTTAGTACACATAGCCTGAGGGGATCATAGAACTCGTGGTGACAAGAAAGTCTGTCTAAGAGATTTGATATCCAATTTCGATCAGGGGCTGTTATTACTGTCTGAACAGCTGAGAAATGAGTGAACATGAAGTGGTCTTGGAGTAATCCCAACTACAAATTTTTGGACTCCTAGTGCAGCATCCGGTTGGGCAACTGTCCTCCAAATTTGGTCAACTCCTTGATATAGAACTAGAAAGATATATGATATCTCTTTTTTGTATCGTGACAGACAGCTCTCGAATACTAAACATTGACAAGTACAGAGGTCTTTTCTTTAATTCTGCCCTTTTTAAAATGCCTCAACTAGGTATTCACAAACGTACAGCTTTATTATGCTGCCGACAGATATCTACATCTTTGAGCTTGATAATTTTCTGTCGAACTTATGACGGGACATCTGTTGTCCCTGTTAGGGCAGGAAGCAAATTTACTTGAAGGACTTGGTCCTAAATTTTTCCAATTACTGAGGTTTACCTACACAGGCACACAAACTTACCTGTCTTATTCATAAATTATAGCTTGAATGAAATCCATTTTTTGTTTTATCAAAACATATGAAACATTCCTTTGTTTTCTTAAATAGGTGGGCGATTGTATATCTTGCACAGCTGAAACCACTCATCGTTCCAGTTTTGAGTGAAGGGGAGTGAGTGCATTGTACGTCAAATTTTGTGTTGATAGTTACTGGAGATTGCTGGACCCTAAGTATTCTTCTCTCAGGCTCTGTAAACTTTTCATCTGCTGCGAATAACTTGATAATTTAATTTGTATATTGTTCACCTCTTATAAAATGGTTCTTTATGAACCACCATTATAATATCCGCAGTCAATTCTGGGCTGAAGGTGAGGACTGTATGTATTTTGGATTGGACTCTGAGTTGGATCAAGGATGATAAATAATCAAATGGCTGTATGTTCTTGCATTGTTTTTATGAGCTCATATCTACTATTTGTTATGATCTTAATTAAGTTTTACACATTAATACATTAATTCATATTGAAAGTGTCTGGTTTAAATGAACTCGGTATTGTAACACATGATCCATCATAGTTGGGTAGTTTATCATATTTATAGCTTTGCTTCTGGGAATTAAAGGCAAGGTTGGTGGAGAATTAAATTAGTAGCAGTACAATTGTAATAGTAGTCTAAAGCTAGTGGATTGCATTGTCAACAAGCTAGTTGGCAATCCATTGACTTAATCAAAGAAAACAACATTACATTAGATGAGTACTACTTCCTCAGGCAGTTTGACTAATGGAGCTTAAGAAACAAAGGGAGATTTTTGAATCTTGTGGTCTTTAAACTTTCCGTGTAGAATGTTGGAATAAAAACACGTAACATAGAATGAGACACTCTTTTGGGATAATACCAAATGAAAAGTAAGACACTTAAATTGAGACGGAGAGATTAGTTTGATTGATTATGAGAAAATGACTCTATAAGAAAAGTCAATTGTGTGGGAGGTATTACTTCATTCATGTGCTTCAACTTCATGACTGTTTCATATATTTGACTAATAAAGCCAAGTGCTCACAGAAAAAAGAAAGCAAAGAAACATAAAATTCAAAGAGGAAACAAAATGGCTTATGCTGCTCTTTCTTCTCTTATGCATACACTGCAACAACTCCTTCAGTCTAAATCACCTTTGATTTGCACTGGAAACACCTCTATACAACATGTTGAATCTCTTTATCAAGATCTATGTGATCTTCAAGTTTTTCTTGAGAACACCACAATCGAAGTCAAAGATATTGAAGATGTCAAGGCTTTAGAGGAGAAGATCAAAGATGTAGTCTACAAGGCAGAAGATAGAATTGATTCAAGCTTGAGAAGCATCATTCTACTAGATAATGGAGACGATGATCGCGAAATGGCTTGTAATGTCTTCAATGAGGAATTGCAACAAGTGGAAAAAGAAGTTTGTTTTCTCAAGCAAGAGGTGATGGTGATCAAGTTTGACAAGCATATTGGATTTAGCAAATTACCAGAATCAACAACTTTCCCTTCATCACGAAAAAGTACAATCGAGGAAAAGACAGTTGTTGGGATGAAAGATGACCTCAATTCCATACTAAATTGCATCAATGCTCATACAAAAGAGCTAATAGTCATATCAGTTGTTGGTATGGGTGGTATTGGTAAGACAACTCTTGCCAGTAAAGTTTTTGATGATTCAATGATTCGTTCTCAATTTGATAAACATGCATGGGTCACCATCTCTCAAGATTATAATAAGAGACAAATGCTTCTTGAAATTGTCTCTTCAATTACTGGAATCTATCAAGAAAACATGAGCAATGATAAATTACTAGATACTGTGTACAAAGGTCTAAAGGGTAGAAGATTTCTAATTGTCATCGATGATCTTTGGAGTACTGAGGCTTTGGATCTGATGCGAAGAATATTTCCAAATGATCACAATAAAAGCCGAATTATATTAACCACTCGTCTCAAAACTGTTGCTGATTATGCTAGCTCCCCTGATTTTCCTCCTCATGATATGTCTTTTCTAAGTTTAGATGATAGTTGGAATCTATTTACCGAAAGACTATTCAAAAAAGATCCTTGTCCTCCACAACTAGAAGTAATAGGGAAGCATATAATACAACAATGTCAAGGATTACCTCTATCCATTGTTGTCATTGCTGGACTTCTTGGCAACATAGGACGGACACCCGATAATTGGAAGAAAATTGAGGAAAATTTGAACTCATTCTTTGGTAAGGCTTCAGAAAAGTGTCAAGCTATTCTTTCTTTGAGCTACAATTGCTTGCCTCAATACTTGAAGGCATGCTTTCTCTATATAGGAAGTTTTCCTGAAGATATGGAGATTCATGTTTCGAAGTTGATTAGCTCATGGATTGCTGAGCATTTCATAAAGGCAAGAAGCAATACAAGGTTAGAAGTGGTGGCAGAGGAGTATCTACAAGAGTTAACAGATAGGAGTCTAATTTTGGTTCGTGGACGAAGGGCTAATGGAAGGATCAAAATTTGTAAAATTCATGATCTTCTAAGGCAGATGTGCATAAGAGAAGCTCAAATTGAAAATGTTGTGCATTTCACAAACAATGATATCTCAGATGGTATAAATGATCATCGTCGAGTGATCATTCCATATCTTATTCAGGATTATTTTCGTGATCATCCAAATCATAGGAATGGTAAGATTACAACCCGCAGCTTGATCTTTTTGGGACGTCAATCTTATGAAGTTACTGGAATATATTACTGGCCCTATAGTATTTCAGATTTCAAGCTGCTTAAGGTGTTGGATGCACATGAAATCGGCTTTGATTTCTCTCGTATAATACCTCAACTTGTACATTTAAGATACGTTGATGCAAGAGTTAACGATCCTTCTTCACTGGCCAAGTTGTTCAATCTACAATCCATAATCATTTATTCACAGAAGAAGAATGTGCAGCTCCCAACGGAGATTTGGACAATGTCCGAGATAGAACGTGTGGATATAACAGCTGTGGATATGCCTAATCCTCCTATTGGAGAACAGCCTCTGTTTATGAATAACTTGCATACACTTGCTGTCAAGTCTTCTGCTGTTGTGTTGAAAATCTTGAGAAGAATTCCCAATCTGAATAAGCTAAAGATAAACGATGTACGGAGAACTGAGTGGTATGCTTTTCTTGACTGTCTTATTGTTCTACAGGGACTTGTGACACTAAATATACAAGCAGCAGCATCACTCAATAGTCCATTCTTTCTCTCTAGAGATATTTTCCTGCCTAATCTTACCAAACTGAGTTTAAATTCTACATTTTTTCCATGGGAAGATATGGCAGTGTTGGCTAAGTTACCAAATCTTGAGGTGCTCAAAGCAGATAATGCATTCTGGGGAACAGATTGGAAACTAGATGAAGATGTTGTGTTTCCTAAATTAAATTGTTTAGCAGTTCGTCATGGAAATCTGGAAAGATGGGAAGCAACAAGTGATAATTTTCCGATGCTTGAGGAACTATACCTGTCTTGGTTGCATCTCCTAGAGGAGATTCCAGAGAGTATTGGAGAAATAATGACGCTGAAATCAATCGAAATAAGAGGTTGTAACTCTGCAGTCATCACTAGTGCAAAGCAAATTCGAGAAAATCAAGAAATCTATGGTAACTACGAGTTTCAACTTCGATTTGTGAGATATTGAAATAAGGTACTTGTACTCTTTGATTATTAGCCAATTCTTAATATGCTCATAGTGTGATTTTTTGTTTTCATTGGTGACTCGAACCCATAACCTTAGTGTTTGAGGTTCACTGAGATTGTATCCTAGGCAGCCTCAGTCAATTTTTTAAAGTACGGGGGAAGGAAAGGATGATCAAAGATGAACTTCAGTCTGTTGGTGTTGGTGCTGTTTACACAGAGTAAATGAGATGTAGTAGTATTTTTGAATCTTTGATCCAAAACAACTGATCTTGAGAGTTTAAGCATGTTTCTTTCTTTATAAAAAGTAGTTACATACATGTATATGACATAATACATAACTGTGTCCTTTTAACCTGGCTTCAATTCGCATCTATGCCCTACAACTTTAGTTGTGCACAAGTAGACATTTAAACTTGTATAAAGTTGAACGAGTACAGACACACGTCCTGTAAGACTTAATACACATAGGATGCCATGTAATGTACTTGTTCAATTTTTGGATAGTTTAAGTGCCTACTTGTGCACACTCACAATTGGAGTGCATAAATTTCCGTTGAGTCCAAGTTAAAGGGCAAATATATGTATTAATATATAGATAGATAGATATAATGGTTGTTGGAGCCTTGGTGATGAATTAAAATTTCTGTAATTATAACTTAGATTCATGTTCCAACTTAATTTGTAAGAGGATAGACAATAGTCATAAGTCAGAACAGAAAATAAGTACACTCATGTTGAACTTTTATTTGTGAAATTATATTACACAATAGGGGGAGGAAGGAAAAGCCAGCCACCGAGACTTAAGATCAACATGTCTAGCAAGCTTAGATTTTGCAGCTACACAGCCCAGAACTCAACTAGCCTTTTTCACAGATGTGAGTGAACCAGATGAGAAACTCACAGAATCGTACTTTTGGAAAATGTAAGCCACAATCAAAGAAGCAGTTAGAGTAACCATATCTTTAGCAGCACATTGCTTGTTTGATTCAGTAGGTCTCCCAGTTTGTGGACCATTAGACCAAAACAAATAATTCAGCAATTCTTTCCCTTTTTCCTTTGTAAATCTCTCCAACACAAACTTTTCAGGTTCATCAAACACCTTTGGATCTTTCATAACTAAAGGCTGATAACCACAAAGAAGCTCCCCTTTCTTGATTTCGTAAACTGAATCATGTGAACTCAGTTTAAAATCTTTTCTTGCTCTTGCATATTGACTTGGTACTGGTGGACTAAGCCTAAGTGTTTCATAAACAAAAGACTGAACAAGTTCCATTTCTTTAACACTTTCAAAACTCAAGTTTTCTGGATTTACGCCGACTTTGTCTCTCACTTCTTTTCTCAGTTTCTCTTGCATATCCGCGTTTTTCTCATCTCCAAGATTTCCCAAAAGAGTTGGCAAGAAAATGGAGAAGCCACCAAAAGCATTGAACCCAAGAATGAACAAAAGGTTATGAATGGCTTCTTGTTCTGTGAGTTGAAACTCTGTTTGTGCCCTGCTTAAAACTTCCTTGGCTTCATTTTTGACGAATTGAACGAGTTTTTCATAATTACCTTTGACAAGAAAAAAAGGGTATGCAAAAGAATGGACTAAAATTTCTTCAAGAGGTTGAAGGACACCAATGCTGACAGTAGGTGCTAATTGAATAGCTAGCCATGAATCAAGAAAGATGTAGCCAGAATTGGCGATTTCTGGGGAGACAGATGGATCAGCGCCGAGGATAGTGAGGGAGAAGAAGTTAAAGAGGAATTTTTGGAGTGCAGGAAGAAGAGAAGCTGTATTGGATTTTGAAAGATCTGCTTCAAAAGTTGTAAACATTGTATCAAGCTCTTTAAGTAGTGTAGGCACCCATGTTTTTGAGCCTCTTTTTAGAATATCCTGTGAAAAATTCTTAATCTGCAAAATCAACAATACACAATGTATAAGAATTTCTTATTCCATTTTCTCTAAAACAAAAGAAAGCAATCAAGTTGCTAGTCAAGAAGGTAGTTAAGTGCATGAATAAACTTGTGATCATGCAGGGTTCTGGAAAGAGTCGTATTCTAAGAAGATGTACATAAGCTATGTTGATGCATCATATCTAGGTTGATTCTGTGGATTTTACTGCTTGAATTACACATGACAAGTAGACCATTTGGAGTGGCGCTTCTAACAGGATTTTTTCAATATTCAAAGTTAAAAATTCGAAACCTCAAAACCTCTAATCAAGAGTAAAGCAATCTCATCATAACTGTATTACAACTCATGCTGGTTACATGACCTATATAAAATTCAAAACAAAGGAGTATCAAAATTGTTTTAACTACCAATACATAATGCTTATATTTTTTGTTTAATGAGTCTGTTTGGATTGATTTTAAAGTTGGTCAAACTTATTAATAGCTTTTGGAAATGTTTGGCAAAGTATACACACAACATGTTGAAAGCCACATAATTAAATAACATTTTGGTATATTCTACATGTCTTTAATTTAAGATCACAATATTCAAAACTCTTCTCTACTTTCTTAAATTCATGTCAAGTTAATACAAGACAACGGTTGATTGAACGTATGCAATAGATTAAAGCATCTTATGCAATTGGAAAACACGAAAAGGACAAGTTACTCACCAAACAATCAAAATGAAATGGAGAGAGTGAATAATAGTCCTTCTGTCCCTAATTATTTGTCCATTTTCTTTTTCTTAGTTGTTCCTAATTACTTGTTCATTTTGACAAATAAAAAAAGAATAAAAAAGAATTTACTTATTAAACCCTCAATTTATTATATTGAAAAAGACAGAATTTTTTAAAAATCTTAAAATTTTAATTAGTTCACTTTATGATTTATAGGAACAAATCAATTTAAAATGAATAAGTAATTAGAGACGGAAAGAATAACAATTACTAAATGAAGGAAATAAAACTCAAAACACAAGATATTCTTAGACAAATATTGGTTTTATCAAGGCATAAGAGCCACACGAGTCAAATCATGCACAAATAACAAACAAAAGAAATTTAAAAACTGTCATATTTATGTTCTTGAAAAGACACATTTTTTTGGTTTTAAAAAAATAGTCTCCTTTCTTTTTTTAGTCTGTTATAGAAAAATTAATCTCTTTTTTTTATTGTAATATTTTAATTTTAATTTTTTACGTGATATATTTAAGGTGAGAAGATCAAAGAACAATTTTTTACATTTAACTTAATTTTAATTTAGGATAACAAGATTCAAAACTCTTTTTATACTTTTTAAACTCCATGTCAAGATTCTTTATAAATCAGAAGGAGTAATAAAAAAAATCTACAAGTGATTTAAGGTGGATATTTTCACATTGATTGTTGCTAACTTGCCATGTATAAAATGTGGACGCTCCTAGACTGGTTGTTACACTGAAATGTCAGCTCACTTGTCATCTATATCCCAATAATAATACGAGGATAATACGTAAGACAAATTTGTGACTTGGCCCAATAGTAGCTTTAGGACAACATGCACATGATCCCGTGGTCCTTGATACTCCTTTAATTTACGTGATTTAAATTTAAAGATTTAAATAAATTTATTTTTATTTAAATTTTTTAATAAATTTTTAAATATTGTAATTTATTTTAATATTTTTTACGTAGTTTACAAATATATATAAATTTCATTCAAAAGAATTAAAATTTTCATATGCAAATTCTTGATCAAACTTAGATTTGACTCTCAAGAAAGAAAAAAATGTCACATAAATTAAAGCAAAAGAGTGTATAGTGTTCATAAGACGTGAGTAATATTATTAAGATGTAAGTGATTTCTCCAAAGAGTTACAAAACAAGGCATATCCAATTCAGACTCATCGAGGATTACAATTGGATTCGCATGTATATGAAATATATAACAAATTTCGCTCGTTACTTTTCTATTTATTTGGTATCCTAGATATATTTGAATCACACTAAATTGATATACATGTATTTGGTGTGATTCATATTTATCTGAGATGCATGACAATCTTGTTCACCTTTCTCTATTTTTATATTTCTGATAGCAAAAATATATGTAACTAGGTGTATGTTTCTCAATATATGATAGAAAATTCTTAATTGATAGTAAGATCAGGGGCGGATGTAGTCGGTGAAAAAGTATTACTATTTATACATGATTAAAATTATTTTTTAGATATATACAATAGATGTCGAACCCCCTCCCACTAGTTCGTATGTTTACTTCTCAGATTTTAAACCCTCATTAAAATATCTAATTCCGCTAAGTAAAATATGTATAGTTATCAGAAAGTACAGATAGAATTAGTATATATGATATGAATGTGGTCTTATCAAGTAGTTTTCCCAAAAAACAATTCATAAACATCTTCCCCTCCTGTTATTATAATGCAATGCAAAAGATTAGTTGCTTTTATAATGATTGGAACTTTTTTCTTATGGGAAATTTACGTAAATACATTGGAAATAATAAATTGATAATATTAACTAAGAAATCTGGTAGGATTGTATAAAAACTGAAACTTTTGATAGTAGTCATAATTTGTGAAGTTATCATGAAGAAAAATATACAATTTAAGAGACTCAAATTGCGAATTCATAATCCAAAAAAAAAAATCATATTAATTTAATTTGATACTATAATTTTGTATAGTATTTAAACGATGTGAAGACTGAAAGGAGATATTCAATGTCATTACTAGTAAAATGTTGGCACCTGTGCTAATATTTTCAAATATTTGGTTCATAAGATAAAGATATCTCACTATTATATTTAAAATTAAATTTATAGTGCTTTATTTAATTAAAGAGATAACTAAATTTAAGAAAAAATTATACCTCAAATTTAATGTTATTTGATCTCATCTAAAAAGTAAAATAAATAAATTTCAAGACTATAATTTTGAGATAACTTTGTTATCGACTTAGAGTATCAAAATCAATTGTCATTTGTAGTCATTTTCTTCTACTATTTTTAATCTGCAAGTGATCAAATCATACTATTTTCTTCATTGTGAGGACAAAATGTAAAGGAATGGCTGAAGCTAGCTTACAAAGACCTTTTAATCTCCGTCAGATATTTTCTAATTTTTATGATTAAATTACGAAATGGTGAAAATTTTAGAAAATCAAATATACACCTATTATTATCAACATATTCAATAATAAAGAAAATTACCCTCATTAAGTTAGGAATTTCCCAAATCAACTAAAATAAAATGATTCAATTTAAATTTATCTATTTTGAATTAATCCTCATAACACAAATTTATTTTCATTGTATAAACATTTAGCCTATAGTCGACGAAATTATAATAAATTTTTAAATGTCACAGAATTTTTTTTCTTTTCTTTTTAACCCCAAAATAACTCGCAATCGCTACAACTTCTGCCATAGCCTCTGCCCTTTTTGGGTGAGCACTCTGTGTGCATTGGGTAAACTCCCACTATGTAATAGCCTGCAAACCACACAGGGAGTGTAAACTGCACTAAGCAGCCCTATGCGACAAGCTCGACTCAGAAGTTATTGAGGAAGAATCAATTTCGAGTCATCCGTATAAACAACTATCCTCTAAACTAACTAAATGATATCCTCTAAACTAACTAAGTCATCTCGAAGGACCGCGAAAAATTTTAATCCCAAATATCTTAATTGATTTAAACTTAATACGTGCAGCAATCCTATAGGCTATAACAATCTCCTCATTACCCCACTACTATTAAATTATCGAATCATAGTACGAGGACTCTCAACAGCCAAAAGGAAAACAACATTTTGCATCGTGGAATGCATTTGGAATATGCGGAGCCAGAATTTTACTTCGGTTAAAAAATATCATTCAAATTTTAATTTGTCACATCACTTTATAAGAATCTTTATTTTTGTTTATGTCAGAAATTAAAAAACTTAATTATAATTTTTCTTTAAAAAAAACCTTAATTTTGATATTCAACATATTAATCACCTTTCCCCAAATTAACCAGTTTAGATTTAACTTTAAAAAAATAGTTTTTAAGTTAAAAATAAAAAAATCAAATTAAAATAATTTTATAATCAAAATATAAAAAGTTTATTTTTGATTTCTAATTTATTTTAAGTTAATTTTTATTTTACTTTGTAATTTATTTTAAATATTTTTTTTATGTTTATCAATTACTTTTAAAAATTAAAAATTCAATTAAAAGTAGATTTGATCTATCTTTTTAAGTCAATCCAAACAGATTTTAACGGACTTTGAGCGCAAGCCTCGAAAAAAATCGTGTGAATTCGAGTAGATACTATTGAAATTGTGTTTACACATGAATACAAATCAGAGATATTTATGAATTTCTGTCGGTGAAAATATGTTTTTGGAAGTTTTTTCTAATCCGAAATTCAACTAACAAGTCTGTGTTCAAACAATTTTCATGGTTGATTTTTGCATAATTCAGGGAGATGAAAAAGTGTACCTGGGCATGTTTAGGTTCAGAAGTATCGAGATAAGCACAAACACGCATATCTCCAGTATAAACAACACTGGGCATGAAATCCCCAACAAGCACATTAGCTTTCTCTACAATCTCCATATCAAACAGATGCGAAAACGATTTCACATCTAAAACCGCCACCACATTTGGATTCACACTACCGAAAAACGGAAAACACGGCGGCACGTTCGTTCTGAAAACCGTGCTCTTGTGCTTTTCCATTCTCTTGGTGAAGAAGTTTTCCGGTTTTTGGAACCAGAAGTAGTCTAATCGATCCGCGATTGGCCCTACTAACGGCAATCCGTAGCTGCCCGGAATCGAACGGACGGGCAGAGTAACCGGCGCCGGAGTTGATAGAGGAGCAGAATTCATTATCGGTATCTTTTTTTTTTTCGATCTGCTAAGGGGATACGATTGCTTGAGGGAAATAAATACGCCGTGTGTCTATTGTAACGTTTGTTTCAGAAATTTCATAGCTCTTGTGTGGATGTGCTTATCACTATGAAACCTAGAAAATACTATTTGGAGAGTGAGATTGGTGAAAAAGGAGAGTTTGAGGGAGGGCTAGTCAAGGTTGAGGGCGTTGGGTGGTAAGCTGAATATCATTATCAATATCAGTTGTGGTACAATGATAAAACTATTTTATGATTAATTTGAATTTTAGTTTGAGTACTGAATATAAAAAAAATTATATTTACGTCATTCTGGATGACCTCTAGGATGCATAATCTCGATTTACTCAAAACTCTAATGTAAACTCTTTCAGATATGATGTGAATTTTTTATTTCAAATCATTACTAAAAGGGAGAATGGCCTAAAACATTTCCTTAATTATAAAAGTGATTCATATAGACTCTTACCGTTATAAAAAATGAATCACATATACATCTATCATTATAAAAAGAATTCGCATATACTATTCATCTAATAAAAGTAAAAAATTAGTTCTAGATTTATAATTTTTTACTTTTAATTTTTTTAAATAGGGGTATATGTGATTCTTCTAGCAAAGTTCAATGTATATTTTAATATTTTTCATATATTTTTTATTTCTTTGATTATCATATTTTTGAGTTTCTTATTGGTTTTTTTTTTCATTATTTAATGTAAAGAAAAAAAATTAAAATTATATTTTTTGTGGCTATATTAAATTTAAGACTATTTTTTTGTATATTTAAAATACAATTGGGGCATTTAAAATAAATTTCACAATAATATTAGTGAAACACAAATAAATTTGATCATCAAAATAATAAATTTGAATTGATAATTAAAACAAAAAAGTCAAAACAAAGATACGTGTGTGAAGAGAATCAAATATAGCCCATATGCATTATATCTTTTTTTTAAAAAAAATATCAAGATTAACTTTTTTCACCTCCATTAGAGAAAAAAAGTACATATAAGCTATTTGTGTAATAGTAAGGATATATTTTAGTCACTTTCATAGCGAGAGCTAATATCAAAGTTAATGGATATATCATGCCATTTTTCCTTATTAAAAAATATATTCATTACTATCGTTAGGAGAGATATTTTTCTTATTAGTACGATATTTATTTTGAGAAAATACTTTTCACCACATCAACACACTCTTAATTAAGACTTATTTATCATGTGTTGTTTTTCTACTATCCTTTGGTCTTTCCCAATTCATCCAAGGCGTTTGATGGCGGATTACATTACTTAGTAGGCATTTGGCTATATAATTTTGGACCTTAAATTTTAAGTTTGACATGAAATTATTAGTATTATTGATACATTTTAATAGAACTTCAATTTTATGTTTGTGTGAATTGTAGTTTATAAATTAACTCATAAGTTTATATTTTTTGATGTCCTTACGACACGACAAGAAATTACCAAATTCAATACACTATGTTTAATGGGTTATAGATCTAATTTTGGATAATTTTATTGAAGAAAATGAAGGAATTAAAATAATCACCTATCCGCAACATGATATGAAATTGAGAAAAGACGATCTCTTAAAATTGTCCGTAAAATTCACTTAGACACTTCAACTAGAACTTGTATCTATTGGACACCTTTACTAATTCGGATTTGAACTTTTTGAATATTTTTGTGACAATCAGCTAAAACTATGAAATGTGTGTAATACACTCGCGATGATGTGAAAAATTGACAAATCAATTACATACATGTGGCATTTTGATGGAAGAAAAAAAAGAAAAAAGAAAAAATTGAAGTGTTGTCATCACTTTGAAATCCTATTCTTCACCATATCCCCCTCCTCCACCATAGTTGTCATCACCTTGAAATCCGCTTAACCTACTATTCTGTTTTCAGATCTGTTTTTTTTTTAAAAAAAAAAAAGTTGAAAATAGCAAATTGCATCTACATAAAAATTAGTCAATACATGAACCTACAAAATATGAACCATTTATAATTTGAGATATCAATAAAATCATTGACTACATAATCATCTAAGTAGATTCGTTTTTTAATTTTAAATCTAATTTGTTAGATATATTTTCTATAAGAAAAAAATGGAAGAAGAAATAGAATAGTCATTGTATGAGTCTATATTTTTTTCCCGCAAATAAGATCACAATATCAAACAAATTTAAAGAAAATGGAGAAAAAAATTATAATGGTATTTCGATAGTTGAATATGATAGAGGTGATGGGGAGGGAGGAAGAGGAGGCAGGAGAAAAGAAAAGGGTGGAAGGTGTTGGTGGCAACATCATCGGCGGAGATGGTATTGGTTTTAGAAGAAATGGCTAAGGAAGAAGGAAGAAGAAAGAGATTTAAAAAAAATACGTTCTGACGCGCTGAATGGATGTGTATTACAATTTCCTTGTCATGTCAGCGAAAAGTGTCAAATAGGTACTTATTCTGAACAATAAAAGTATTTAATAGATATTAGTTTTAATTAAAATATCTAAATGAACTATATAGACAATTTTAAGGTGCCGCATATAACTTTAGCCTATGAAAAAATAACTAAAGATTGGATAATAACTAAAGCCAACAAAGTAAAACTAAAATATATAAAAAGTAACAACAATTAATGTTCATGGGAGAATAGATGGTAGGAAATGGAAAAAGGGTTTCGTTACTTATTTGCACATGCAACAAGAATTAATGCTACTTAGAAAATAGTGTTGGTAGGATATGGAAAAATATCAAAAATTTTGAAAATTATAAAAAATAATATAAAATACGATGAGTCATATTTGGGTACCTTTGAGATTGTTTAAATCATAGTTAGCAATTTTAATGTAGTAAAATATAATAACAAAATTAAAAGGTGGCAGGGAGACCAGCTTCTTTTGTGTTCAAACTTCATGGTACAATGTGCAAAAAATTATTTTGGGTTCAAACTTCAGAATAATGTGCATTGAGGTTCAGTATATTTGATTAAAATTTTAATACACTTTATCATAAAGATCACTGTGTTTGTTTTTTAATGGCTCACAAGTTAAGGGTATTGGAGGAAAAAAAGAAAGGAGAATAGAAAGAAGCAATAATAGTAATGACTAATTTAATGTAATTTTCTTATGGTTTGATGATCAAAACAATGCATATATATTCCTAAAAAAGTTGTGTTTCAACGTGAACATAATTTCAGTTTTAATTTTAAATAGCACAATAAGAGAGAGTTGTTTGGTGGTCAGCGCTCCTCATATTCGTGAAATGTTAATATAATTTTAACTTTAATTTCAAATCGCATGACAAGAGAGAATTACACAGATGGTAAAGGTTCCTCACTTTCAACCCACAAAAAGGTTAGAGTCCTAGTGAGGAAATTAAAAATAAAATTCAAAATAAATAATTTTAAAAAGATTCAGATCGCATTTAAAATTTAAAATTCTCCTAAAAGTATTATTATAAATTCCAAATTGTGATTTTTGTTTATATATATATATATAACTTGGCTCATAAGTTTATAATTTACAAAAAAAACTATCTATTATTTTAACCACTCTATAACAAAAAAAATGGCTCACATGATTAAATTGTTGAAACATGTAAAAAATTATATTAAAATATAATAATTACTTCTACTGTTGACTTTTTGGATAAGTGAATATTTGTAAAATTATATGCATTTGAAAATTTATAATATAAAATTTGTTAATGGAACGTCGATAATTTAGTGCTTTGTGTATTGTATTTGGTGAGATTATATAAGACTGAAAATTATAATAGCTTACATAAATTGAAAAAAAATGACATATTCAAAATTACATATTTAACTAACATTTTAATTTTAAATCAATTCGATTTCAAATCATCACGTTCAAACCGGGCATTAGGATGAATTAATTTGGATCATATCGAATTGATTAATTAATTGTTGTTGGATATATTATAGTTTTGTGTATGTGTTGACTCTTTACGTAAAATCACACTTTGCACTTTCAGATCAGTAAATTTGTTCAATTCAATTATTGCGGTGTATCTCTTGCACTTAATTATTGCACAGATCACAAGCATATGCATGTGGTTAAGAATTTATTGAATATACTAGTGCCTCCGTTTCTATTTACTTCTATGTCTCTATTTATTTGTTTATTTTGATATATTATGAAAGAACAAAAAAATTTATATTCTCATTTAAATTTTTTGAAAATTTTCAAATTTTAATTCATCCTTTTCGAAATCATAATTAATAAGGGTGAAATTGTAACTTTACTATATTAATTATTGCTATCTTAATGTGCGTATCATTTTTAAAATGGACAACTAAATAGGGACAGGGAAAGTAAGTTTTAGATTCATTAGTTAATAAAGAAACGTGGAAGATTTCATTGGAATCTACAACGACCTTTTCTTGAATTATATCAATTCAATAAATTTTTGGCTTAATACATAAATACGTTTTAAAGTTAGATCGCTAGATATTTCTTTCTTTCAATTTTGACGATATATAATAAGATACTAAACTTGTATAGAATTGTATGTGTAGACACATGTGTCTTACATGTGTTGTATATGGCAATTTCGCGTCCTAAATGGTGTTTCGTACATATTGTTATGCACGATATGTGTTTACTAATTTAATTTTATACAAATTTAAGTGTCTATGTTGAAAAATATAAATTTCAATTGAGATTAAATTAAAAATAATATTTATATATTATAGATTAAAAAAAACGTGTTAAGACGTGTTAGGCTTGTGTTTCCAAATCGATACGTACACGACAGTCTTTTATTTCGATTGAAGAGTTGGACTCACATTTTTTCCTTTAGATGCGTTTGTTTTCATAGGCATCATGCATAAATGACTGATGAACCTAATACAAGTTTGGTTTAATACATAGACAATTTCTTAAATTCGTTGAGAACTTTCATTTAGATATTTGAATTATATTTACTTCAATTGAGCACATGATAAAATATTGATATGATACACTTTTAATCTAATTTTTTTATAATAAAAAAAACTTTTTCTATGTGTTCTCCAACTTCTATAGTTGTTAAATTAGTCATACAAAATATGTGTTTTCCTCTATTTATACACATCAGTCTCAATTTTAAGTAATTTACTTATGTAGTAAACATTCCTTC